GGCATTCTACAGAAGCAGTAAAATGATCAACGGTTGCCAGGGATTAGGAGGTAGAGTGGGAGATGAACAGGTGGAGCAGAGGTTTCTTAAACCAGTCAAACTATGATAACTACATTGGTGGACAGGTCATTATACATTTATCGGAATCCACAGAACACACAACACAAGAGTAAAGCTTAATGTAAACTCTGAATTTCGAGTGATAAAAATGTGTCACTGTAGGCTGGTTGATTATAACAAACGTATCCCTTTGGTGGACCCCAGTGCAGGATGTTCACACTGGGGGAGGCTGTGGGTGTGTGGGGGCAGAAGATAAATGGGCACTCTTTGTACTTTCTGCTCAATTTTAGCTGTGAAGCTAAAATGTCTCTAAAATATAAAATCTATTTTAAACAACAAAATAAGAAATGTATTAAGGGGCAAAAATCTTCACTATTGCTTTCTTTAAAATGATGGCTTGAGCCCAGGAGTTCAAGGTTGCAGTGAGCTATGACTGTGCCACTGCACTCCAGCATGGGCAACAGAGCCAAGATCCTCTCTTAAAATGTATGTATTTTATTTTACTGATACATATTAGATGTACATATTTCCAGGGTACATGTGATAATTTGATACATTCATATAATCAAATCTGGGTAACTGGGATACCCATAATCCTACATATTTACATTTTCTCTATACTAGGAATATTCGAAATTCTTCTCTTCTAGCCCTTTTTTTTTTTTTTTTTTTTTTTTTTTTTTTTTTTTTTTTTTTTTTAAGTAGAGGGGAGGTCTGTGTTGCCCAGGCTGGTCTTGAACTCCTGAGTTCAAGCATCCTCACCTCCACCTCCAAGCGCTGGGACTACAGGCACATGCCACTGCACCCGGCTAACTTTTGGGACTTTTAGAGACATGGGGTTTCACCATGTTGCCCAGGCTGGTCTCAAACTCCTGAGCTCAAGTGATCCGCTGGCCTTGGCCTCTCAAAGTGCTGGGATTATAGGGGTGGGACATTGCACTCAGGCCCTCTTCTAGTTATTCTGAAATGTACAATTCAAGGCCAGGTGCAGTGGCCTGCGTATGTAGTCCCAGCTACTTGGGAGGCTAAGGCAGGAGACTCTCTTGAGCCCAGGAGGTGGAGGTTGCAGTGAGCCAAGATTGCACAACTGCACTCCATCCTGGATAATAAGAATAAACCTCTGTCTCAAAAAAAAAAGAAATGTATAATTCATGAATGCTAACTAGAGTCATTTTACAGATCAGGTTTTTTTTAAAACAGAGTTAAAAAAAGAACTAAGATTCTAAATATTCATCAATAGGTAATACAGGTAATTTTGTTTAAAAAAAGGATAAATTATGATACATCCATATTATTTACAGTTAAAAAATTAGATAACTGGAGGCCGGGCGCGGTGGCTCAAGCCTGTAATCCCAGCACTTTGGGAGGCCGAGGCGGGTGGATCACGAGGTCAGGAGACCGAGACTATCCTGGCTAACATGGTGAAACCCCGTCTCTACTAAAAATACAAAAAACTAGCAGGGCGTGGTGGCGGGCGCCTGTAGTCCCAGCTACTTGGGAGGCTGAGGCAGGAGAATGGCGTGAACCCAGGAGACGGAGCTTGCAGTGAGCCGAGATCAGGCCACTGCACTCCAGCCTGGGAGACACAGCAAGACTCCGTCTCAAAAAAAAAAAAAAAAAATTACATAACTGGAGATATACTGAGATGAAACAGTCCCAGATGTACTTATGAGCAGACTGATAACAGTTCACATTTTGTGGAAAACAATTACATATTATGCATTAAGTACCGTTTGAATTTTATAAATAGAATAAATAGCATTTATTTTTATAATCACAAAGTAACTTTATAAGCTTTCAGTAACCCTAAGAGGCAGAACTCTGAACAGCCACTTTGAAAAGAAAAGAAGCACAAGAAAAGCCAGGGCTCTCCAGACATCCTTATACACAATTTTTTAGTATCTGCTAGAAATATGTCCTAAATCACTTATTTCTACTTCACGTCGGAATAAATGCTGGACAACCAAGACTTCTACATTCTTCCAAAACTGAGACACCTAAATTTTCAATAGAGTAATTGTTAAACATACTGATATATCCATATGATAAATATTACACCTAATTATTTAAAACCTTTATAAGCAGTTTTAATAACATAGGAACTGCTTAGGTCCAATGTTCAGGAAGACCATACACACATACACACACACACAGATAATCTATCATCTCACTCATATAAATACGTACAAAAAAAAATTGGAAGAAATACCCCAAAGTGTTTAACGGTTATCACCACTGGGTGATGGAATAAGAGGTGAATGTTTTTTATTCTTTATACTTTCATCTATGAACTTTCAACAATATGTAAATGCTACTTTTAGGTAAGTGTTTTGTTGTTTTTGTAGTATTGTTTATTTCCCAGTGTAGAAATGATTGCTCACTACTGATTACAAAATAATACATTTCTACAAAGCCGTCCTCATCCTGCCTTCTCTCTAGTGGACTTGGTTCACTCTAAGTGCTCCGTGTTTACTCAGTTAATAAATGGAAAGACAGATGAATTCTATAAAGTCGATCCTTTTTTACCCCATCTAAGGAAAACCCCTAGGTCCCATGCACCCCGAGGCCCTTCCACCCTAACAACTTGATTTCCCTGAAAAGTATGTCTGGAAGCCTTTCCATGACAAAGTAAATAAATCCCAATATTCCTCTTCAATTTTCATAATGTGAATGCTACCGACGAGCCCTGGCTTAGTTCATCTGTCTTCCATTGCTTGACACTGACAGGTTATTTCCACGGGTTTGCTGTGCAGACGCTTGAGGTTCAGACCCTGCAGAGGCCATTGGGGGCAGGGGAGTTGGGGCCTCCGGCTCGAGTTGGGCTCTGGAGGAAGACAAGGAACCTGTTCCTAGCGCTCAGCGGGGCCCTGCGACAGCTGTGGCTGTGGCTACCGCCAGGAAAGGGACAGAGAGGCAGGATAAGGTCAGAACTGCTGGGGCTGGGGCGGAGACGGCTGCTCCCAGGTCTGGGTGCGCCCAGGCGCCTCCCCCCGCGGCCAGTCCCACCTCCGCTGCTGCTCCACAGCAGGAGGGCGCAGCCCCAGCCCCCACAGGGCTAGGGACCCGTGTACGGGGAGCAGGCCGGGTGCCCCAGGATGAACTTGAAGCCCAGCACTACCAGCTTCCAGCTGTGGGAAGGGCTGGTGGCAAGAGGGACCCGGAAGCAGCACTGGGCCCGAGGGCAGAGATCAAGGATGTCTCCCTAAGGGTGGCTCTGCGTACTGGCTGCCATCTCCAGGTCAGCGGGGGCCACGTTTGCGCCCGGAACATCAGCGTGCCCCCAGAGAGCTTGACCCGAAGCATCCTCCAATTCCCAAGAGAATTGCCCACGGTGCTTGGGCCCCCTGGGAAGCCCTGCTGGCAGGAGCAGTAGGGGCCAGCACCCCAGGCTGATCGGGGTCTGGGATCCGGGCCTGCGTCCAGACTGCCTCCACGCTGGGGCTCCTCTGGCTTTTCTTTGGTATTCCAGCTCTCCAGTTCTGAAACCAAACCTGGATTCGTGGCTCAGAAGTCCGTTTTTCTGGCCAGTTCTTCTCTGAAGGTAATTCCAGGATAAAGGTCCGTTTCAAAGGCCTCAGTAAGAATTGTGTATTGATATCTGTCAAATCTGGTCCTCCTATGCCTCTGGCCTGGCTCAAGTGTGTCTCTGCCATAAGCTGAGCTCGCTGTGCACTGGGAGCCTCAGTGGACAGGTTAGTTTTTTTAACGTTTAAAGTTTTAACCAACTTTAACAATTAACAATTGTTTAAACAATTGTAATCAGGGCTTACAATAAAACTGTAAATTTAGTTTATAGGCAATATCACTGTTTAAAAACCAATTAACTTTCCATATTCTGCTCTTTTCTTCTGTGTCTATGAAAAATATTAAAATTAAATTCTGACTCCAAAGACTCCAATAAGTAATACAACAGGAAAAGTGACTAATAAACTTTAAACTGTAATAACAGAGAGATAGTGGCTAACAGGCTGAATGAACACAGCCTGAGAAATAAGTGAGATTATGACCCACGAGTGAAGCATCAGCAAACCTGGATACTACCTGTGGTTCCACCACTCACTATCTGTGCTACTTTTACAACCCACTGACTCTTTGAACTATGGGATGCCATCTATAAAACAGAGACAAAATCTTCCTGTTACTATGAACATTGAATGATACAGGAGTATGAAAAGCATTTTACTACAATGCTGGCATAAAGGTTCAAAAAATGCTCAGTATTCTTAATATTCAGTTCCGAGTACAATTTAAGATGGACATTGTGACCAACTGAAACACACTTAGGAGGACGACAGGAGATGAAAAGAGACCCCAAAATAAAACCATCTGAAATGGCACCTGAAGCAACTAGCTTGGACTCAGACAGTAAAGGAGATACAATGACTGAACATTTAAAGGACACATATGGAAGCAAAGTTATTTAGCGAAGTTCAGGAAAACAAAGCTTTTACAAAGGGAGGCAGATTTTCAGTGCTCTGTAAGAAAGAACATGTTCAAAACTGGAATAGATCGCAGGGCGCGGTGGCTCACGCCTGTAATCCCAGCACTTCCGGAGGCCGAGGCGGGCGGATCACCTGAAGTCAGGAGCTTCAGCCCAGCCTGGCCAACATGGCAAAACCCACCTCTACTAAAAACACAAAAATTAGCTGGCTGTGGTAACGGGCACCTATAATCTCCGCTATTCAGGAGGCTGGGGCTGGAGAATCACTTGAACCCAGGAGGCAGAGTGCAGTGAGCCCAGATCGTGCCGCTGCACTCCAGCTTGGGCAACAGAGCAAGACTCCATCTCAAAAAATAATAATAAATTTTAAAACTCTTCAAATTATTTATCTTAAAATATAGAAGAAATATAATACATATAGAAACTTTTAGCTTCAAAGGTACCTTTAAAATCTTACATTAAACAAGAAAGGTAGAAAAAAAAGTGCTCTAAGACTTACACTTTGCTTCTGACAGATTTTGATTGGGTGACCAGACCAACATGCCAAGATTGTCCCGTTCTTGACTGCGTCTTGCCAGTTTGGCTTGAGAGAAAGAAAAAAGAAAAATCTCATTAAAATTTAACACATATAATAAGCAATAAGTAACAATACCTTTTAACATATTGTTGAATACACCCACCTTTTACCTGTATCTGTACCAATGGGACCACACACTTAACCTCAGAGTGAGGATGGAGATGGGGTAGGCGACACAGTCTGCTGAAACATTTCTACTTGCAAGTCCTTTCCTACTTTTACTGATTTTACAGTATGCTGCTCTGCTTTTAGACATGAGACATCCAAAAAGAAATCCACACATGCCAAGGTGCTCAAAGGTTCTTTTAAAATGTTAATTCTTCATGTGTGCTTGCAGCACCCTTACCCTTCTCTGCCTGAGTAACCTTTTAGTGACTTGGCAATAGAAATTCCAAAATTCTTTTAACAGCATTATTAAAGAACAACCATTTAAAAAGTTTAACCTGAAAGTAAACTTCTAAAATGCATACTAATTCTTAAAAATCTGTGATGCAAAATAGTAGGCCAAAACGTTTAAAAGTGCCAAGGGTGGAGCTCACATGTATTAGTGAATTAACCGCAAGCAACTGTCATCTACTACAATACACATACCTAAAACATTATCTTCACAAGGCAAAGACTCAAGAAACAGGAGGTTCAGTGACCATACCTTCACAATGCTTAGGCCCAAACTTATTCATTCTAAAGGTTAATTTTGGCCACTTTTTTTCCTTTAAATAAACTACTCTGAAAATATGATGAAAGTTATGGAACCTAAAACTCTTAAGGGGAAAAATGCAACTAAATATAACATACAACCTACTATAAACAAAAATCTAGGAAACCCACAGTCTGGTTAACGAATTTCTTCTTTTATGATACCGCCAGATCTTCCATCTTTAATTTTGTCTACCAATGTGTTCTAGGTTTTATAAAGAGGAAATTGTACATTTTTAGTAAAATCTGAGAGGCAGTTACTTTAAAGAACCATAACAGAATAGTGAAAAGGACCCAAAGTGTGAACAGTATGAATTAGGTAAAATTAAAAGTTGAATTTATGTTGCAGATGGGAAGAGGATGTAGATGAGAAAGAAATATGACAAAAAACATGTAGTGACCGTCTTTGAGTTTACCCTTTTTTGAGACAGAGTCTTAGTCACCCAGGCTCGGCTCACTGCAACCTCTGCCTCCCGGGTTCAAGTTATTCTCCTGCCTCAGCCTCTCGAGTAGCTGGGACTATAGGCGTGCACCACCACACCCAGCTAATTTTTTATTTTTAGTAGAGATGGAGGTTTCACCATATTGGCCGGGTTGGTCTCGAACTCCTGACCTCATGATCTGCCCACCTCGGCCTCCCAAAGTGCTGGGGTTACAGGTGTGAGTCACTGCGCCCAGCACAAGTATACCCTTTTTTTTTTTTTTTTTTGAGACGGAGTCTCGCTCTGTCACCCAGGCTGGAGTGCAGTGGCCGGATCTCAGCTCACTGCAAGCTCCGCCTCCCGGATTTACGCCATTCTCCTGCCTCAGCCTCCCAAGTAGCTGGGACTACAGGCGCCCGCCACCTCGCCCGGCTACTTTTTTGTATTTTTTAGTAGAGACGGGGTTTCACCATGTTGGCCAGGATGGTCTCGATCTCCTGACCTCGTGATCCGCCCGTCTCAGCCTCCCAAAGTGCTGGGATTATAGACTTGAGCCACCGCGCCCAGCCTACCTTTTTTACAGATATATACATAGTTCTGACTTTCAGAACAATGCTAATGCTACACATAACCTAAAACGAAAGTCATCAAAAAGTATGTGTGGGGAGGGACCCCCAACGGAATACAAAGACAAATGAGTCCTGCTATATTTCGAATAGAAGTCTAAAGTACAACAAAAATAAAGGTATCCACAGTGGAAAGGTACAATCAAAACTGCATGACTGTCTGTGTAGAAAATCTACATTTTGTAGAATCTACAAAATGGCACTAGAATAAATGAGTTTAGTAAGGTTGTAAGAAATAATATTAATAGTAAAATCAATTCTATTTATATATACCAGCAATTAAAAAATCAAAATTAAAGATCATTAGCATCAAATATGAAATAACTTAGGGATAAAGTAAGATGTGTACATTGAAAACTATAAAACACTGCTGAGAGAAACTAAAGATGATCTAAGAAAATGAAGAAATATATCATAGATATAGACTCGTTATTAAGAAGGCATTCTTCCCAAACTGCTCTAAAGATTCAATGCAACCCCAATCAAAACTGTAGCACATTCTTTTGCAGTAATTGATAAATATTCTACAATTCATAAAGAAAGGCAAGGTAACTGAGACAGTCAACCCATTTTGAAAAAGAGCAAAGTTGGAAGATTTACACTATCTAAATCAAGACTAATTATAAAAAATCAGTAATCAAAAATGTATGGTATTGGCATAAAGATAGAGAAATAGGCTGGGCACGGCGGCTCACACCTGTAATCCCAGTACTTTGGGAGACCGAGGTGGGCGGATCATGAGGTCAGGGGATCGAGACCATCCTGGCTAACACAGTGAAACCCTGTCTCTACTAAAAATACAAAAAATTAGCCGGGGGTCATGGTGGGCTCCTTAGTACCAGCTACTCGGGAGGCTGAGGCAGGAGAATGGCATGAACCTGGGAGGCGGAGCTTGCGGTGAACTGAGATCGCGCCACTGCACTCCAGCCTGGGAGGCAGAGTGAGACTCTGTCTCAAAAAAAAAAAAAAAAAAAAAAGAGAGAGAAATAAATGGAATAGAATCCAAAAACAGAACCACACATACAGGATCAAATGATTTTCCATAAAGGCATGAAGGCAAAACCAAACCAAAAATAATAATCTTTTCAACAAATGATGCAGGAACAAATGAATATTCACATGCAAAAACAAAACAAACATTTTTTTAAAAATTAATTTGGATCCATACCTCAAAATTATCTCAAAACAGACAACAGAACTAAATGTAAAACTCAAAAATTATAGAATTTCTAGAGAAAAACACACGGAAATCTTTTTGACCTTGGGGTGGGAAAGGACATCTTAGATATAATACCAAAAGCACAATCCACCAAACATTTTTTAATGGTATATTATACTTAAATAAAATTTTAAAACTTTTACTCTGCAAAAGGCACTGTTGAGATACACTGCAGACTGTAAGAAAATATTTGCATATCGCATATGCAACAAAGGACTTGTATCCAGAATACATAAAGAACTTTCAAAGTCAACAATAAGGAAAATGACACAATTTTTTTTTAAGAAAAGGACAAACGATTTGAACAGTCACTTCACCAAAGTAGATATAAAGGTGGCATATTAGACGAAAAAATGCTCTACATTTTTAGCCATTAGAAAAATGTGAATTAAAGCCATGATGAGAAACCATGATTTACCTGTTAGGCTGTCTAAAATAAAAGGCATCAACAATACAAAGAGCTGACAAGAACGGGAACAACTGAAATTCTCATACACTACTGGTGTAAATGCAAAATTATAAAGCCATTCTGGGAAAATTTTGCAGTTTTTTACAAAGACATAATTATAGTTACCAAATGACTGATCTAGCAACCCCACTGTTCAGCCATATACCCTACAAAATTAGCATTATGTTCACAGCAAAACCTGCACACAGGCTGGGAGCAGTGACTCACACCTGTAATCCCAGCACTTTGGGAGGCTGAGGCGGGTGGATCACCTGAGGTCAGGAGACCAGCCTGACCAATATTGTCAAATCCCATCTCTACTACAAATACAAAAATTAGCCAGGCATGGTGGTGTGTGCCTGTAGACTCAGCCACTCGGGAGTCTGAGGCAGGAGAAATGCCCGGAGGTGGAGGTTGCAGTGAGCCAAGATCACGCCACTGCACTCCAGCCTGGGCGCCAGAGCGAGACTCAGTGCCAAAAACAAAAACAAACAAACAAAAAACAAAAAAACAAAACAAACAAACAAAAAAAACCATCCGGCACACATAGGCAGCGTTATTCACAATTATCAAAAACTGTGAAATATTCAGATGTTCTTCCATGGGCAAATGGATAAACCAACTGTAGTACACCCATATACTGGAACAGTAGACAGCAATAAAAATAGTGAACTACTAATATATGCAACAACACAGACCTATCTCCAAAGCATTACAGTGAGTGAGAGAAGTCAGTACAAGTTCATTCATATGACACTCTGCAAAAGTACAGGGATAATGAATAGATCCAGGGTTTCCAGGGGCTAGAAGTGTGAGGAAGGTTAAGAAAGTGTGAGAGGCCAGGCGTGGTGGCTCACGCCTGTAATCCCTGCACTTTGGGAGGCCGAGGCGGGCGGATCACGAGGTCAGGAGATCGAGACCATCCTGGCTAACACGGTGAAACCCCGTCTCTACTAAAATACAAAAAATTAGCCGGGCGCGGTGGCGGGCGCCTGTAGTCCCAGCTACTCGGGAGGCTGAGGCAGGAGAATGGCGCAAATCCGGGAGGTGGAGCTTGCAGTGAGCCGAGATCGCGCCACTGCACTCCAGCCTGGGCGACAGAGTGAAGACTCCGCCTCAAAAAAAAAAAAAAAGAAAAAAAAAAAAGAAAGTGTGAGAGAGTTTTTGGAGGAGATGGAGCTCTTTGGTATCCTAATTGTGTGGTGTTATGTGAAACTCCAGTAGTGCCCCCATCAGCATTTGCTTTCTGTGATTTCAGTCACCCATGATAAACCGTGGTCTGAAAACATTCAATTGAGAATTCCAGAAACAGTTCCTGAATTTTACATTGTGCCCCATTCTGATTACCATGCTGAAATCTCGTGCCGTCCCTCCTGGGACATGCATTATTCCTTTGTGCACCACATCCCCTCTGGAGGTACTATGTGCCCATCAGTAACTCGGCCATCTTAAGTTACCAGATGGACGGTCACAGCATCGCAGCACTTGCATTCAAGTCCCCCATATTTTACTTACTAACACCCCCAAAGTGCTGGTGATGTTGGCATATTGCTATAATTGTTCTATTTTATTATTGATCTCTCAGTGTGTCTAAC